ATTGATATCGTATGCCGAAGTTATCCGAGTCGGAGGCCTGGGGCCGCTGCTCGCCCCCCCGCCGACCGCGGGCTGAGGCGGCTGGGCGCGGAGCCAGCCGAGGGCGGGAGGGCGTCTCTGCCGGGCCAGGCCCTGCGGTCCGCCGCTCCGGCCTCGCCTGTCAGCAAACTGTGGAGACAATACTTGTCGCCGTCGAAAACACGAAAGAGGCTCAAGGAAGGACGAAAATCAGCAGTAGCCCTGCTCCCTGGGAACCAGCCGGTTACGGGGCGTTTCCTTCTGGCCCGCGTTTCCCGTTAGCGCGGACCCGTGGGGCACGAAGTGCAGTACCTGGGCCGCTTTCTCTCGGTAACGCGCCGGCGCATTCCCCGCGGCGTTCAGTAGTCCTGCGCGTCCTTTCTGTCGGCCGCAGTACACTGCGTTTCTGTGCGCCACGATGACGCCCGCCGCCGTCCCCGCGCGTGCCACGGCCGTGACTGGATGCATGGAGTCCCTCCCTGATGGTGAACACACAGGTGGTTTTCAGGTTTTAGTTGTTACAAAAAGTAATTCGTTGAGCACGGTTCCGTCTGGCTTTTTGAGCGTGATTATTTCTTTAGAATGAGTCCCTCCTAAGGCTTATGGTATATATTGAGAAATGGCCCTCAGAAAAGTTACTCTCGTTTTTTCCCTCCAGTCAGCAGCATTTGGGAATTCCTGGCTCAAGGAGGTACGGAGTCAAAGACCTTCTTGGGCAGCTTTGCTGGAGGCCCCCGGTGCTTCACCAGGGGTCGGGCATCCGGTGTCCACACCTGTTAAACGAGTGGCCTGTCTTGTGGCTGGGCCTTAACTGGAGCTTTTTGCTGAAAAGGCAACTGTGAGCATCTTAGTAATTTTATTTATTTTTTTTAAAGGCTAGTCAAGGGAAGGAGTGGGACTGGAGAAAGAACAAAGAAATCTCTACTTGGTTGTGATCAGTTTGTGGTAAACACCACTGCACTGAGACCAACCTGTTTAGTAATTTTTAAACTGACTTAGGTTTAGCTTCCACAAATCACTGCGGTCCACTATGTTTAAACCTCAGTTGAGGCAAAATTCAGGCTGGAGTTAGATAAACAGTGGAAATGTTTTAATGTTTAACTCATGCTCTGAAATATGGGTACTGGATTACTTGGGAAGGGATTCTAAAAGATTATGCTGATGGCTAAGTCTTGAGATACTCAAAAAGCTTTCTTTGAAAACATTTAAAAAGTTTCAAGTGTGTGTCATCAACCTTATCAATGAAAATAAATGGAATTTGTTTTTCCATCTTTTTCATTTACATTTAAAAATCTGTGCAAAAATAGAGGGAATTCTTTTTTTTATATTTATTTTCCAGTTTGGTCACATAATCTTGAAAATTAAATGCATGTAAAATATGTTTTAAAATGACAGTGGAAAAATAAAAATAACAAAAAAATAACACACACACAAAATGACAGTGGATTAATTCCTTCCTCCTAAGTTTTAAACCAAATCCTTCATTTCTCCTGGTCTGGCAGGGCTAGGACCACATTCCTCTGAGGGTGCATTCTGCCCTATGCTGTTACAGAATATATCAGAATTTTATTCCTTTTTTTGGCTGAATAACTTTTGTTAATCCATTCTTATGTTAATGGGCATGTGCGTTGTCCTCCACCTTTTGGCTGTTGGGATAGTGCAGCAATAAACATTGGTGTACAAATATCCATTTGAATGCCTGCTTTCAGTACTTTGGGGTAATACCTAGGAATGGAATTGCTAGGTTATATGATAACCATATGTTTAGGTTTTTGAGAAACTGCCATACTGTTTTACATAGCAGTTGTACCATTTTACATTGCAAACTGTAAGGGTTCCAGTTTCTCCAAATCTATACCATCACTCATTATTTTCTGATTTTTTTGAAAAATAGCTCTCCTAGAAGGCGTGAAGTATCTTGTTGTGGTTTTGATTTGCATTTTCTCATGATTAGTGGTGTTTAGCATATTTTCATGTGTTTATTGACCATTCGTATGTCTTCTTTGGAGACATATCTGTATACGTCCTTTGCCCATTTTTTAATTGGGTTGTCTTCTTGTTGTTGAGTTATAGGGGTTCTTTATATGTTCTAGATATGAAACCCTTATCAGATATATGATTTCCAAATATTTTCTCTCATTCCACAAGTTTTCTTTTCAATTTATTGAAAATGTCTTTTTTTTTTTTTTTTTAAAAGATGACTGCTAAGGGGATCTAAACTCTTGGCTTGATGGTGTCAGCACCACGCTCTCCCAAGTGAGCTAACCGGCCATCCCTATATAGGGATCCAAACCTGTGGCTGTGGTGTTATCAGCACCACACTCTCCCAAGTGAGCCATGGGCCTGCCCTGAAAATGTCCTTTGATGCACAAAAATTTTAAATTTTGACAAAGTCCAATTTATCTATTTTTTTTCTTTGAAAGTGTCATATCTGAAAATCCATTGCCAAATTCAAGGTCATGAAAATTTACCCCTATGTTTTCTTCTACGAGTTTTGTGGGTTTAGCTCTTTTAATTAGATCATTAATCCACTTTGAGATAACTTTTGTATATGGTGTGAGGTAGGGATCCAGCTTCATTCTCTTGCATATGAAAATCTAGTTGTGCCCATACCATCTGTCAAAAAGGCTATTCTTTCCCCACTGAATACAGTTGGTGCCCTTATCAAAACTCAATTAGCCATAGATGTATGGGTTTATTTCTGAACTCTCAATTTATTCCATTGGCCTATATGTCTATCTTTATACCAGTATCACACTGTTTTGATTACTGTACCTTTGTAGTAAGTTTTGAAATTGGGAAGAGTACCTAGTTCTTATGTTGACTCAACACTAATTGAAATGAATAAATTCTTTAAGGATAGAGGCATATTCTTCAAATTCCTGACAGAACCTAGTACAGTGTCTTTTGATAGCAGGTTCAAATAAATGTTTGTTGAATGGAAAAATTAAAGTATGGACACTTATCATAAGAAAACTTTTGTTGTGAAGGTACACTTCCCCTTGAGAAAATAAATGGAGCACAGCCACTGCAAACCATACAAAACCATACAGAATGTTTTAAAACATCTATTTGACTTTGCAGTACTTTAAAAACACTTAGTGTGCATTTAACTATTTGTTGGATGAATGGATTATGTTTGCTCAAGCTGATATGACTTCGTGTAGACCATCCAGAGAAGTCACCAGTTATGAAGGAAGTTGGCTTTTTTGTCAGATATTCTCAAAATGAAAAATCAGTATATGGCCCAAAGTATTTTAAAGTCTGTTTAAATAAATATTGATCTCTGTGCTTTCGTGTCTATTGAGGTTTTAGAATAATCATTTTTATTCATATTCACTTTGTTTCAGCCCTGTAGCCTAAATCTCAATTTTATTTCAAGTTTCCCTAAAAGACTCACCAGTGGGCATATTTTTATGCACATTAGGTGAACTGACTAGTGTTTTAAAATTTTTTTCCCCTGATAGGAATAGCAAAAAACCAGATGTCGGTCTGTCAGTCAGTTGCATTTATGGCTGACTATAGTGTGTTCTACATGTGCCCCCTTCTTCTGAGCCAGAAGAGCAATTCCAATTAAATTTTTAAAGTGTGGAGATTGGGATGAAATATGTAAAGTCACAGAGGTCTCAAGACTATATTGAAACTTCTATGATAAGAGAAGCCCAAAAGCAGGAGGCAGATTTAATTTTGGACATTTTTCTTAAACATTAGATGGGATTTGTTGATGGGGATTACTCTTTATGGTGGGGTCAGGTGGAAGTTTTTCTTTATTTTGTGTGTATTATTGGGGTCCTCCACAGCCTTGTTAGAAATTTGGGTAGATAGTAAGAACCCAGGACTGGCAGTGGGGGGTGGCGTTTGGAAGGGTGTCTTTTTACCCTGATTTCCTCATAAGGAGGGAGAGAGGCTAGAATAGCTGATATCATTGTTTTTGTTTTCCAATGCTGAAAATTGTATGACTGTCTCATATTTTGGCTATGGTCTTACAGAACTCACTTTAATCCTTGCATAGAAAGCAGTTTTTTCAGTTAATCTCTGCCTTTGAAAATGGTACAAAATTTGAAGCATTGCAGCCTTTTATAAGCCAAATATGCTATTAAATCTCCCAGGAATAATCATAAAAATATTTTATAATTATTAATTCTTTATAAAAGGAATTTTTTAGTCTTTTGTTTAAAATATTGGATAACATGGACAAGAAAAATTGAAATACTACTAACTTTGTGTTAAAGCAGTCCTTAGTCAGGCCTATAGAAAAACAAGCAAAGAGTAACATTAATTTGTGAATTTGTGTTTAAGAAGAAACATTACAGTTTATGTGATGTGTGTTACAAACAGTTATATAAGTAGAAAACATATAATTATTTAAGTAGAATTGGATTGCTTCAAATTTTCCAGATAATTGCTTCAGTGCTTTCTCTGACCATTGTATATAATTCTCTCCTATAATGTATATTATCAATAATTGGAGAATGAAAATTGCTATTTTTTAATTGAAACATAATTGTACATATCTGTGGGGGAAAATTGTTATATATATATATATATTTTTTAAAAGATGACCGGTAAGGGGATCTTAACCCTTGACTTGGTGGTGTCAGCACCACGCTCACCCAGTGAGCAAACCGGTCATCCCTATATGGGATCCGAACCCGTGGCCTTGGTGTTATCAGCACCACACTCTCCCGAGTGAGCCACGGGCCGGCCCGAAAATTGTTATTTTTAAAATAGTCCATAAATAGTTGTTGAATCTACGAATGAATGTTGATAGTCTAGAGAAAAATTTTTTTAAAATGTGTTCTTGACGGGCCAGCCCATGGCTCACTTGGGAGAGTGTAGTGCTGATAACAACAAGGCCGCAGGTTCAGATCTCTATATAGGGATGGCCGGTTAGCTCACTTGGGAGAGCGTGGTGCTGACAACACCAAGTCTAGAGTTAAGATCCCCTTACCGGTCATCTTAAAAAAAAAAAAAATGTGGTCTTGATTTCTAACCTCCCTTCCAATTTGTTATGTTTTATACTTCTATATGAAAAGGTATTGCAATTTAAATGTACCATGCCATATCTTTGTGTGATTTAGTAATATATGAAGTTCCTTACAATACAAAACATTATAGTGCTTCCAGGTTTGAATGCTGTGTTACTGAACTTTCTAGAATCTAAAAGTTACAGAGCAAAATTTGAATAATATCCCTAACTGCACTCTGATTTACAAAGGATGCTTTATCAAAGTTTATATTATGCTGTTTGGCTTATTCTATTGCTGTGTATTCTTTTTATTTCTATAATTGCACAGTATCCTCTAGTTTCATAGTGGATATCCTAGGGCTTCTTGAGACTAGAAAAATTCACAAATTGGTATGGTTCTAACAAAAAAAGAGGGATTTATTTTAGGTATAAGTCTTTACCTAGTTTTTATTCTAAAATTCCTAGCTTTTCTTGTCCATTGGATTGCTTTTATGGGTGCTAATTTCTTCTTTAACATCTTTTTAACCATTTGTGGCTTCTGGCTGTTTTCAACCAGAGAGAGTTGGTAATCTCCCATTTTTAACAAGGAGAAAGCACCCTTGGTCATCTATATGGAAACGACACCTATAAAGGGAAGGGTTAACCTAAGGTAGGTCTTGGAGAAAAAAAAAAGTAGTTGAATTTATGATAGTAAGTAAATATCAGGGGTGCAACTGTTAATCTCAAAACTTCAACTGTGGAGGGTTTCCTATGTGTTCGAATATGTGTGTGCTTCTGATTTTAGTAAAACTTAATTAGCGCTGCAGCCCTGTTACTGTTTAGTACATTGCACAGTACTGGGTTCCAGTTCTGGCTTGGGCACTGCTGGGGACCTGAGCAAGCCACATAACATTTGTGGATTCATTATCAGCACTAGTAAATTAAAAGGGCTCAGGTAAGTAGGTAAATTAAGTTGGCTCTAAGCAAACCAATTTATCCCTGGCTGCTTGCTGCACAATCACCACTTCTTTGAAGTTACCAAACAAAAAAAAATTAAAAAGTTATATTCCACCATAATGTACTTTAGATTAGTTACCACCTGTAACATTGATGCTCCCAGAAGATGTCATGTTTATCTTGGAGTTTTATGTATTCCCCAATCCCACTGCTTCATACCCTTGGGGCTTCTGGTGCTTCAATTCGAGAAGAATGGAACAGAGGATCTCTTGAGTCTCCTGCAACTCTGATATGCTATAATATTTGAAATAATCTAGAGTTTATTCTCTAGGTTTAAGAAATTATATTTTTAAGAAATTATAAATCCATAACAGGGAAAAATATGGTTGATTTTCATGATTTAACTTCTTTCTTTGAAAACTAAAGATTGCAATTCTATTGTATGTAGAAGCTGTTTCATGAGAAACTGCATGCAATTTAAGAAATGGATTGCAAAGTAGAAAAACCCTTTGTAGATGTCACCTTCGTTGCTCTCATTCTTTCTTTGCTGCAATTCTGCTTTTTTCTTTCCTGCCTGCTAATTGGATTAAAGACTGTTTTGCCAACATGGCATCTGGAGATGACAGTCCTATCTTTGAAGATGATGAAAGGTAAATGTCTTGCATTGCAATAAAACTAGCCTTTGAGATTTTCAAGACTTTTAAGATCATTCAGAAGAGTCATTTATCCAGCTACTCTGTTAAAGGCACATTTTGTAAAATTGCAGAATGCATGTTTATGCTTTTTTATGATTTAGAGCAGGGGTAGTAAATACCTGGCAGCAAGGAGGGCCACCAGTAATGTGGCATCCTTTTTCATAGAACCTTGATGTGAGGTCTCCAAATCCTTCTCAGCACAAAGTTCTTGGCAACCACTTCAGAATGATGTAAAATCCATTTACTATCTCTGGTTTAGAGTATACAGAGGAGATTAGAATAAACAAAGAGGAAGATGCAGTTAAGACAGTAGGCTCTGAAGCCTGAGTCCTAGGTTTAAATCCTATCTCTGCCATTTAATGTCATTGTGACCTCAGGTAAACCCTTAGCCTCTCTGAGCTTCATCTGTAAAATAATGATGCTAATAGTACCCATTTCATGGTGAGGATTCTATGAGTTAATATATGTAAAGCTCTTAGAACAATGACTGACGTACAGTAAGCACTGAATAGCTGTTACTATGATTATTGCTGTAATAAATGTTACTTCTCTTAAAGCTAAATATATCAATATTGAAGTATTAAGTCATTCACATAGAACACATTATATATTTTATATAAAAATATTAATATCAAAAGTATACCTGTATGTTTAAATTGTGCCAGAAATTTTAGACAAACTAGAATCTTTTATTTTTAAAGTAAGATTTCCTGTAGTAATGCCAAGAATTACTATTTTTTATTACATTTAAAAATTATTTGGGGCCGGCCCGTGGCTCACTCGGGAGAGTGCGGTGCTGATAACACCAAGGCCCCGGGTTCGGATCCCACATAGGGATGGCCGGTTTGCTCACTGGCTGAGCGTGGTGCTGACAACACCAAGTCAAGGGTTAAGATCCCCTTACCGGTCAAGAAAAAAAAAGAAAAAAATTTTTTTTATCTCTATTATAGGTTATTTCTTCCATGACTGCTTTTTTTCCTCAGTCTTAGTATAATATATTACTACCCTTTTTAAAAAAACCAGTCCATACTCATTAATTTAAGTATGGAAGGTTTGTAGAGTTCTTGTTTTGGAGTGATTGGATCTGAAAAAGAAAAACCAAAATTAAATACTGCGCTTTTTAAATGAAGGGTTGAAGGGAGGAATAGAGGCTTTTTACTGACCTTCCCATGCACTGTACTGTAGCCTAGCCTAGAATTCTATCCAAGATAAACTGATAGATTCTTAATCCTATCAATATTAAGGTGACTTTGTTTGGAATTAATCGGACTATATACCCATATATAGTAATTGCATCTTAAAGGAAGAGTGAATAAGGGAGAAAATAGTTACATGGACTGTGAGTAGGATTTCTTAGGTGATATCACTTTAATACTTTGAAATTTTAGGGGTTTTAAAAATCTGGCATTTTCATCTTGGAAGTATTAATTGGTTATTTTATTACTGTTTTTGACACATTATAATTGCTTTATTTTATTTCTTTAGCCCTCCATACAGTCTGGAAAAAATGACAGATCTCGTAGCTGTTTGGGATGTTGCTTTAAGTGACGGAGTCCACAAGATTGAATTTGAACATGGGACGACAACAGGCAAACGAGTAGTATATGTAGATGGGAAGGTAGGAAAAAAACATGTTACTTTGTAAAATGTGGTATACAGAGGAGCCTGATTTTGTTAATGTAGCTTCTTCATATGTGAATTCAGGGCTTTTTTCTTATAATGATTATTGTTATGTTTTTAGCCTGTATCATTTTGCTGTATAAAACAAACTAATAATAGTTATAGAATCCATAGATTATAACACCTAATATTTAAACTTAAGATGCCTTTATTTTCTAAAACCTTGGCATCATGAATTGATATAAGTACATCTAAATGGCATTGCCATTTGGTCACTTTAATTACATTATTATTTCTAAAATTTTAAATTTTTCTTCCATTTGTGTGTTTTAAACTTTTATATTTTGGCTGCGCTCGCCACACGCCATGTTTTAAACTTTTATATTTTATTACTTAGGAAGAGATAAGAAAAGAATGGATGTTCAAATTAGTGGGTGTTTTAAACTTTTATATTTTGGCTGCGCTCGCCACACGCCCTCCGCTCTCGCCGACTTTTCCCCAGCTCCGCGCGTCCCGGCTGGACGTTGAGCCTCGGGAGCCGGAGCGGGGCAAGCCAGGCAAAGAAACCTTTTGTGTTGGAGCTGCAAAGACAAAAGCAACCATAAATATAGATGCTGTCACTGGTTTTGCTTATGAATATACTCTGGAAATTAATGGGAAAAGTCTCAAGAAGTATATGGAGAACAGATCAAAAACCACCAATACTTGGGTATTACACTTGGATGGTGAGGACTATAGAGTTGTTTTGGGTAAGTCAGTGCCATTTCTACAGAATTTATTTGCTTTTTATGATTGCTTTTTAATTAGTTCCTCTAACTATCCCGACCTTTTATGAGAGCATTGAATAGGAGAGGGGGTGTAAGTGCAGGTGTATTTCTAATGTGTCCTGTGTGAATGAAGTATTCACTTAACTCATTGTTTTATATGTAAGATATCATAGAGCCAGGTTTTTATAGTGATGGAGTTGAGGATTATAAATTTAGGTTAAAAAAAAAAGTAATATTGATGTAGACATTTGTTATTATTTGGTATTTCTCTTTATAAGTATGTCTTATAGGCAGTTGGAAATTTGAGATAGGTTTAGGACTACATCAGTTCAAAATCATCAAAGTTAAAGTCCAGATAAAGTAGATTTTTTTAAAAAGTAACCTTTTCTTTCTCTTGGTTATTCCTAGTATTTCCTGCTTCTCATATCACTAAGTTAAGGCTGTTTCGATCATCACATTAATTCATTGATTGATTTATTTAGATAATATTTATTGAATACGTACAAAATGCCAGTTAGTGTGCCAGGCACTGAGAATGTATAGACAAAGAAACCTTGTCTACATCTTTAAAGAACCCACGTCTAGTTGGATGCTAGAAAATACCTTTTTTTTTAAGAATGAAAAATGTTTATCAAATAAGTACACATAGTTTAAAAAGAAGCCAAAAACTCCTGTATAGCTTTTTTATTTATTTATTTTTATAAGCTGAGTGGTAAGGGGATCTTAACCCTTGACTTGGTGTTGTCAGCACCACGCTCTCCCAAGTGAGCCACAGGCCAGCCCAAAGCTTATTTATTAAAGAAACTGGATCAGTTCATCGTTAAGAGTTTCCTATGGTCTGAATTTTTCTGATTGCATACCTGTGATGCTTCTCTGTTTTCTACATTGCCTGTAAATTGGGAGTCGACTCTGAAGAATTAATCAAATTTATGTTTAATTTTTTTCCTGGCAAAACTACATAATAGTTTGCTATATCAGGAAGCATGCAGTATTTATTTGTCATTCTTTTTTTTTTTTTTTCCTTTTTGTCTTTTTTACTGACCGGTAACGGGATCGCAACCCTCGGTGTCGCGCCCGTACCGGGGACCGGCAACGGGATCACAACCCTTGGTGTTGCGTCCGCACCGCGCTCAGCCAGTGAGCGGGAACTGGTCTCCACATCGGATCCGAACCCTCGGCAGGAGCGCCGCCGCACTCCCAAGCGGCGCACTCTCCAGTGCGCCACCAGGCCGGCCCATGTCACTCTTTTTTTGATGTTGGCAAGCATTAATGCCTAGTGCCTAGATTCTTTAACTCATAAGTGGTTGCCAAATAGTGATACTCTGGTTCTATCATTCCTTGTTTATTAGCCAGAATACTTCTTTAATTAGAGCCTTCCTGTTGTCTACTGTTTGGTTACACATGGTACATTTTGTGTAGAAAATGCAGGATGACTGCTTTCCCTTTATTCACCAGCTTTCAAAATATTGTATTGTCTTATCTTCGTCTACAAGTGATCATTTAGGTTTTTTAAATCATTATTAACTCATGGATTTAAATAACTTGATGTGTTTCAATGCATTAGTTATTTTTATTGATGCTCAAATTGTCCCATTTTTGGTCATTAGTTGCTGAGTCCTGTTGACATACCCTCAGTAGACTTTGATGGCTTCCTTGCTATA